AAAATAGTTTCATTTCCTATGTGTAACAATCGCGAAAACCTACGAACTCGATATGCATATACTAACCTAACCTAAACCTGCAGGAGGAGGTCGAACCAACTAGGAAATGCAAACAAATTCGGTAACTTCACCATTGCACCTAAACACCATTACGGAACTATATTTATAATACAGTGTACTCCGTGAATGTTATTTAAAAAATTAACATTATGCCGTCGTTATATTAGATTGAAAGTTGTATCAATCGTCTATTATACCCAGTGACCTTTATAACATGCAAGAATATGTCAAATGTCTGTATAGGTACCATAAATGAATTATACCTGTTCAGCATTATATCGATTAAAAATATGTCATTTGTTGTTATATATTACAAACAGCACCCGATATTTAATAGCAAGTTCGTTGACAAAAGTGATCAACGATAAAAACAACTATTTAATTAATAATTGAAACGAATACACAAGCCATTTGGCAAATAATCATTAGATTTACACATCGAGTATATAACCAGAAATAGAGACGAAATGTCATTTAATTTGTTTCAAAATTATTCTGCCAAATCATTATGGTGACAACTGCGCTGCGCTACTGATATTGGCCAGCCCGAATTAGAAACAGTTGACGCGTGTCGTCAATTGTTTCACGTCAAATCGACCATTTTAACTTAAGCTCTGATATAATGAACGTAAATTGAAAAATTGTATATTTAATTACCGATGAAATGTGATTCCGTTTGTTTTGTAATTAGATAATTTGCTGTTGTTATAGATATTATCTTTGTTACAATAAGGTCAGTTGTTGGCGCTGTACTATTTCAGTTTTCTAATATGTGATTTCAGCGCAAACGAGAGTTGATATTTAAAAGTGATATAAGGACCAATTGCTTGATGAGTTGCCAGAGACGGATGGCCCTTATTTCGTCTCTATTTCTGATTATATACTTGATGGATTTACACGACGACCGGGCGTTTGCACATCTCTGGTTCCAACAATAGCCCTTGATCTGATGTTGCATCCAGGACACAATGCAGCCTACCCAACTCCTCGACTGCTAATGCATATTGAGTTAACACAATACGCGCGGGCGGGTTGTCGTCCATGGTTACCTATCAGTAGTCTGACATGACATTTTCCAGAAGTAGCGTTTGCTCGAACTTTCATAACCTCGAAAGTAATTTTGAGAGGAAAATGTATTTTCTTTTAAACCTAATTTAACCTAACCTAATCGTGTCTTTGCGATACACATTCAACATATCCTGAAAGAACAACTGTTTCGTTATAATTCGGTTTTCGGTGTAATGAAAATTCGAACAAACGTTAATTCGCACAAAAAATTCTCGATTTTGTGATAGGTTACCGTCGTCCATATAAATACACGGAGATACACCCGCCGCGCTCCCGACCCGACACGCGCCCGAACTGCACCCGCTTTTTAACCGACTTCAAAAAAGGAGGAGGTTCTCTATTCGACTGTATGTTTTTTTGTGTGTATGTTACGCGATAACTCCGGTATTTGTGAACCGTTTTTCTTGATTCTTTTTTTTTAGATTGTACCTCCATAGTGGTCCCATTTAATTTCAAAGAATCATCCACCTCTAAAGGTGGCTGTTCAGGCATGAAGGTTCATTTTTATAAATAGCGTCTACATTTTATTATAAGGAGCAATTATTTTAATGGTTGATTTTGCTATTCTCCAATTCAAGGCGTTTTTCTCTTTCAATATTCTTGAGTAGTGAGAACCGATTTTTATTATCTCCTGTGTCAAGTTCCGTGTAGTTGCGAACTAGGAGATGAATCCGGGTTTGCGCACTTTCCGGTAACCGATTTCAATAAAACTTGGTAATTATATATAATACGTACTTTTGAGGTCGGTTTTTTAGATTATGTTTCGACAAGTCGTTAGCTTACGGATGGTGACTATTGACTTACAATAGGTACACAGTTGCATCGGACTTTTTTAAATTAAGCTTTATGACATGATATGAATATGAAATTACAGGAACAAATTCCCGTATACCCCCGAACCAGTCAGCCAGCCGCTCTTTCTCCGCAAACGGTGGTACCGCCAGTTGCGGTGGCGGCATCACCAATGCAAGCTGGAATGGTTAATATCCACAGTTTTCTACCTATGAAATAAAGATTACAGAAGTCCTCAACAAGGGCTAGCCTGCTCAGTATTGGGGTTTATTATTAACATAGCAAGAAAATGTGTTTTTGTTGCGTTGATATTTTTGTATCAACGCGTGGCTTGTTCTTTCGTTCAACAGATTAAATCGGTCCTGGGGGCCTAAAAAGGCCGCACTGCTTCATATTATGATGGAGACCTCCACAGAACACTGTCAAATAGATGAATTGGGGTTTTTGTTTTGTTAGAAAATTCATAATATGAATTGTCAATTAATCATATTATGATTCTGCCACTTCGGCCTTTTTAGCCCTGCTGGTCTTGCAAGTTTTATTTCATGTGATTTGTATGTTAGCTCGTACATATTATCAAAGCTAGTTTAAAGATATATTTCAGCCCTCGCCTGGATATGTACCAGCAGTACCAGCACCCGGATATGTACCAGCAGTACCAGCACCCGGATAT